CATCCTCAGTGGATGGAGAGCTACCCTAGACCTAAAATGGCTTAATTGTTACCTGATCCACTGCAGGCTTAAGGTGCACTCCTTACAGTCCATCCTTCTGGGCTCCAGGCAGGGGGACTGTCTCGCTTCTATAGATCTTCGGAAGCGTATCGACCCCATTCCAGATTCCTTAGGTTCTGTTACAATCACCTCCGCCAATATGTGACCCTCCCCTTGGGTTGGCATTTGTCCCCAGAACCTTCTCTAGGGCCTTTGCGGCCCTAGCGGCTCACCTCAGGAACCTTCCCGTGCGTCTCCACTACTACCTGGATGACATTCTCATCCTATCTCACTCCAGACGCCTAGCAGAGAGGGACACCAGAGCCCAGAACCTGGGTTCCTAGTAAACCGGCAAAACAGCCTACTGTTACCATCAAACTGGATAACCCTCTTGGGGTCCATCTTTGTCATGGTTAAAGGGAAGCTCTCCCTTTCCTCGGCAAGATTCCTGGCATCCTGGAATCCTTCAATCATACCCCCCCAAAAAAGGAAAGAGATCGGCAGAAGCAACTCAAAGACTACGGTCAAGGGTCCCCTAAGGGTCCTCACGTCTCTCCTCCAGTGGGCCAACCCTGCCAACAGCTAGGGTCAGTTCTTCTAGGAGCCCCAACGCCTCACCCCCTCCACAGGCGCCAGCCTGTCCAGATGGGGCGCTCACATCCACTCGCTCACGACACGGGGCAGATGGTTGGAGGCAGAACGGGCATGCAGTATAAACTGGTTGGAACCCCACGCCATCCACCTGGCCCTGCGCAACCGCCTCCCTCAGGTACGAGGGCGGCATCACCACCAAGGCTCACATCAACAGGCAGGGGGGTCCCAGTCCATACGGTTGATGAGAGAGGCCGAGCGCCTCTGCCGTTGGGTGGAGCGCAATCCCCCCCTCTCAAAGCAGACCACATCTCTGGGGTTTCAAACACCCAGAAGACTGGCTAGCAGGGACACGGTGGACCAGTCCGAGTGGCGCTTCCACCTGTCTCTGGTCAAGGAGGCGTCCATGACCTCGGCCTCCCAACAGTGGACCTCTTCGGATCCCCCCACACAACTTCCCAGGGCATTAGAAACTGATCCTCGATCAGGCAGAACTACTTCTGGTGGCCCCCCTACTGGCTCAGACACCCATGGTTTGTGGACCTCCACAACCTATCACTGTCCCCTCCCTGGAAAATCCCCCCGAGCAGGATCTCCCCTTCTCAGAGACCTCTCTGGCATCCGGATCTCCAATGGCTCCAGTTAGCCGTTTGGAGGTTGAGCGGAACCGCCTGAGAAACAACAAGCTCTCTGATCAGGTTATTGTTCCCATTTTAGCCACTAGACGGCCCTCAACTACCAGAATATCCAACGTCACTTGGAATAGCTTTGGCAAATGGTGCCATAAATTCCAGGCCACCCTCTTTCGCCCTTCATCGCTCGGGTTTTCCACTTCCTCCAAGAGGGTCTGAAGAAAGGGCTTTCCCCTAACACCTTGAGGCGACAGGTCATAGCCCTCACAACTGTCACCGCCGGTGACAACCTTGATTCCTTTTCCCACCTCCCTCTCATTGGGGCATTCCTCAGAGGAGCCACTAATCGTGCCCTCCAACCGTTCACCGATATCCTACCTGGGACCTCAATCAGGTCCTTGTGTCCCTTACTGACCACCCCTTTGAGCCTCTCAGGAAATACTCCAGTTTTTAACATTCAAAGTCGTGTTCCTGGTGGCCATTACCTCGGCTCGCCGAATCTCGGAGACTGCAGCCTTGTCAGTGAGAAAGGACCCTTGCATCTTCCATGGCGTTCCAGTGGTCCTCCGACATGACCCTTCCTTCTTGCCCAAGGTCAATTCAACCTCCCACAGGCCACAGGAACTCACGCTCCCAAAATTCTGCCCCAATCCCTCGCGGGAGAGGGAGACGTTTTGGCGCACTCTGGATGTGAGACGTGCTCCTCGCATTTACATTAAACGCATCCAGCCCTTAGGAGGTCCGAATCCCTATTCCTTTCCTTTCATCCCAAGACTTGGGGCCACAAGGTGTCCCCTTCAACCATCGGCCGCTGGATCAGACCTACTGTTTCTAAGGCTCTCTTGTCTCAGGCTCTGCCAGTTCCCAGTGGAATAACAGCACATTCCACCAGAAGTGCGACTACCTCGGCAGCTTGGGCCCCCCAAGCTCCAATCTCTGATATTTGCCGGGCCGCCACCTGGGCCTCTCCGTCTCCTTTCATTAGGCATTTGAAGATCGACAGATTTGCCTCGGCGGAGGCCTCGTTTGGCAGACAAGTCCTTCAGCGGGTCCTTGAGGACCCGCGGAGACCTCCGCACCAGACGGAGTCCCTCCCGTAGGACAGCCAAGCTTTGGTATGTCCCACTCTCTGGATGATCCGAGCAGCTCTAAGGAGAATGGGCGTTGGTTCTTACCGGACACGCCATTTCTCTTCGAGCTGCGAGGATCATCCAGCCCCACCCTTCTTCTTCTTTCACCGTCTGGTGGGGTCTTGTTTCAGCCAATGAACCCTTAAGTCTAGTATGATTGAGAGTATGACTTCCTCTTCCATCTCGACTTCGCATAAACTGGGGAACGCTACAAGGGAGCCACGTGACGGAGGGCGGAGCGTTCCTCAGTAATTAAGCTCAGCCTACAAGCAACGCAGACTGAAGCACCTCCCACTCTCTGGATGATCCTCGCAGCTTGAAGAGAAATGGCGTGTCAGGTAAGAACCAACGCCCATTTTGTCACAAGACATAAAACCAGAAAAAGTGGTTTCAATTACCAGTGATGGGGCACCTTCTATGGTGGGGTTAACATCTGGTTTCATACAGTTGTTTGTAAAAGAAACAAAGCATGAAATCATTCAGTTTTACTGTATTATACATCAAGAAGCTCTTTGTGTCAGGGAAAGCAGCAAAAAACTTGAAGATGTACTCAAAGTTGTTACAAAAATGGTGAATTACCTCATGGCTCACGCTCTGAATTTTTGTCAGTTTAAAGCACTTCTTGAGGAGGTTCAGGCACAGTATAATTGTTTACTGATGTATAATGTCAGATGAGTCCTGGAGAGATTTGTAGCCTGCTTGGATGAAATCAGGCTGTTTATGAATGAAAAAGGGCAGGAATATCCACAGCTCACTGATATGACGTAGCTTACCAGCCTCATGTTTTTTTTTCTGATTTTACAGTACACTTCAATGTACAAACAACTACAAACAACTACAAGGTTTAGGGAAAACAGCAGGAAGGATGTTTTGTGATATCAAAACATTTGAGAGAAAACTGCAGGTTTTTGAAAGAGACCTTGAAAGTGGGCAGCTGAAATATTTTCCAAATCTAAAAATGCATTTAGAAAATTCTACAATATTTGCAGACAATCCTATAAGCCATCAGGAAATCTACAAGGAATTTTCTAGCATTGTAGCAGCTGCAAAGGTGAATTTTAGTAACAGGTTTTTACAGTTCCGTAAGATGGAAACAACTCTGTTTTCTTACCTCTCCAGATAAAGCGAAGAACTTAATCTTTCCTGCTTACACTGGTTAAATTTAGAAAATCTAGAAATGGAGCTATTAGAATTCCAAGAAAGCTCCATGTGGAAAAATAAATTCTGTGAGCTGCGTGAAATGCTTGAGAATATAGAAAGGATGGCAAATGACAGCACAGTTAGTTCTGAAAATGAAATCCTTAAAGTGTGGAATTGTCTGCCAAATAATGTTAAATCAATGAAAAAACTTGGGATTGCTTTCTTTGTTTGGATCATCATATGCTTGTGAGCAGCTGTTTTCAGCTTTAAATTATATAAAATCAGACACAAGAAACAGATTAACGGATGACCTGAGCGCAGCGTGTGTTGCTCTCAAACTTACAAAATATGAACCAAGGATAGAAAAATTATCAGCATCAGAGGTGGTATTCAGCAGGTTCTGACCAATTCTGGAGAACTGTTAGCAGAAATTTTGAGTAGTTCAGAGAACCGGCAAATACCACCTCTGACTGGAGATTTTACAGTATCCTCCCCCTGCCACACACACCAAGCCACGCCCACAGAACCAGTAATTAAAAAAAATTGAATTCCCACTACTGTTCAGCATGCATACAAGAGCAAAAGTCACATTAATCAAAAGCATACCAAATGCAAGCTTTTAACTTCAATAAAAAGTTATTTGTATCATTGAAAGCACTGTTATTGTGGGTTTTTTTTTTCGAGAAAAGACATTGATCACGCATGAGTTTTTTCTAAACTAAAACATTATTCAGGTTAAATTGCCTTGTTGTCAGGGGTGGGGTTCTGCCAAGGTGGTAGTTGGGAAGATCAGAGAGAGAACCAGTTCTCCCTCTGCTGATCTTCTCGGCTTCTGTTTTGGCCCACCCGCCCGCCTGGGCTCTTGGCTGTCCTTTATTTCCTGCTTTTTCAACCTTAGTTGCTTTGCACAGCACCGCAGCACAGCTGAGGTTGAAAAAGCAGGAAAGAAGAAGATTTTCAAATGCTGTGCATGCATGCACAGTGCTTGTCAGCTGTCTGGGCAGCACAGCTGATGATTTCTTGCAAACGCTGTACATGTGCACACAGTGCACATCAGGTGTGGCCACGCACATGGCTGCGTGCAAAAAGCACACTCACCATACCAGTTGTAACACCGGTTGGATCTCACCCTGCGTGTTGGCACTTCACAATAAATAAGTGGGTTTGGGGTTGCAGTTTGGGCACTCGGTGCCAAAAAGGTTCGCCATCACTGACCTAGGTATTCGTGCCTGGGCACTTTTTAAACCCAGTTGGAAATGTCATATACCACAATAATAAATGAATACAGTTTTTTCTGGAACTTTTTTTCTTAGGCTGCTCTTTTGTCTACCTTGGTTGCACATCTGCTCATGGATGCAAGATTGACAAAGTTATTAAATTAATAATTGTTATTAAATCTTTGTGAATGTTTTTCTGGGGTTGCTTTAAACAGCAAAGGACACAAACCCATTTTGTTTTTGTTTTTCAGATCTCCTCTAAGCCTGTCAGGTTCTCTAAGGTGAGCATTGCCAGTTCTTCCTGGTGCTGGCAGGGGCAATGAAAAGCCATAGACTTCACTAAAAAAAAACCCTAAATTTAAGGGAAACAATGCAGGAATTGGAATTCATTGTAGGGGTTGTTGCATTTAAAATATTGCCCCTGGATATTCTGGAATATCCCAACTGGAATAAACATAGACTTCAGTAGGAATTGATTTTAATTTTAAGACTACAGCAAATTAAATATGTTTTTTTCCTTTCTTCCTATTAACCTTTTACTCTTGCTCCCTACTACAGCCGTTCTCCTCGGCATGAGAAGAAGAAGAAAATTCGCAAGTATTGGGATGTCCCTCCTCCAGGTTTTGAGCACATTACACCCATGCAGTATAAAGCCATGCAGGGTAGGCTCCTCTTTGCTTAAGTCACCTTGAATTGCTCATTTTTACAACAAGGATAGGCAGCTTGCATAATTTAAAAAATCTTCTAAAGCAAACAGTTATGATCTCTCTCTGGTAGCAGATTTTTGTTTCTTCCATGGCAGTTTGAACCATGGGCAGGTCAGCAATAGAGAGCATAAGCGGCCCTACTTATCAGTTGGTTCATTGCACATCTACCTTTAGTGGCCTCCCCTAGTGTCTCATCTATGTCTCCTCAAAACATGTCTCACCAGTCTCTGTAAGGCTTGCTGTTGAGTTAACATCCATGAATTTGACTATCAATATATTATAGCTTTCATTGGTGAGTACAGCTTTTCCATCTCACATTCTTTTTACCAGTCTTTGGATTTTTGTGTCTTGAGTTACAATAATTATAGTTGTGGCCCTTCCATCATACTATAAACCATACATAAAAGTACCATAATGAGAATTTAAAATGGGGGTAATAATTTACTACATTGGTAAGCTGTCTGGCTATCAGCAACACCAGACGGTTTGTAAATTGTTAACAAGATTTAAAAACTAGAAATTGTCAGGGTTCCAAGTAACACACCCAACAGAATCAAAACTCCAAGGCAGGCATGTTCCTCAAAGTATCAGTTTATTAGGTGTGTCATATTGGCACATCTGGGGAAATGTTAATAACACTTGGGTGAACCAGTGCTTCCATTGTTGAAAGCCAGACTGGTATCTTCAAATAGTGTTGTTCTCTGACTTTCTCCCACACTAACAATAATGCATTCCTAATATAATGTCTTTGAAAGTAACCATGTATTATATTTTCCCATACCACAAGAAGGCATGCCAGCCCAATTGCAAAACATGTCCCTCCAAGGTCAATAGTCTTTTGTTCCTCAATACAATCCATTCTTTCACCCAAGTAAGTACCGCAGCCTGGTAATACAATTCCCAATTCAGTAACCCAAAGCCGCCTCTATTTCTTGAATCCTGCAACATCTTTAGGCTTATTTTTGCTTTTTTTCCCTTGCCAAATATATCTTAATATTATTTGATTGAGTTCCTCAAAATATTTTTTCCCCAATTTTATCGGGATTGTTTGAAATAGATATAATAGTCTTGGCAATATTTTCATTTTTATTGTAGCTATCCTTCCTATCAATGATAATTGCAGGTTTTTCCATTTCTCCAAATCTGTTTTAATTTGTTGTATCAGTTTATAATAATTGTCTTAATAGTTACACATCTTGCTGTCAAATAAATCCCTAAGTATTTTACTTTCTAAGTAGTCTGAATATCTCTTCTCTTTGTTTACTCGTTTTTCTGTATATCAGTAAAATTTCTAACTAATATCTTAGTTTTTTCTTTCTTTATTTTCAATCCTGCCATTTTGTCATATTCCTCTATTAGTTTAGGCCCTGTTTCTTGTGGATCTTCCAAAATGAAAAATAAATCATCTGCAAATACCTGTAGTTTATATTTTTATTTTTTTATTTCCATACCTTTTATCTCTATATCTTGTCTAGTATTTCTATTTAATACTTCCAGTGTCAATATAAATAATAGGGGAGACAGGGGACATCCTGGTCTTGTACCTTTTTTAATAACAACCTTCTCTGTCATATCTCCATTTACCATCATCTTTGCTGTTTACTTGTAATCTATCACCTTAATCACATTAATAATCTCTCCCCAAAATCCATGTCTTTTAGCTGTGCTAGCATGAATTGCCAGTTCACATTGTGAAATGCTTTCTCTTCGTCTAGGAAGATCAATGCCATTTGCTTCCCTGGATGTGCTTCGTAGTACTCTAGCGTATTTAAGATTATTCTCATATTGTCTTTGATTTGTCTCTTAGGTAAAAATCCATTTTGATTTGGGTGTACAAATTGATTTAAAAATCTTTTAAGTCTTTCTGCAATTATTGAAGCATATATTTTATAATCTGCATTCAATAAAGATATCGGTCTGTAATTTTTTATCTGTTGTAAGTCTGAGTCCTCCTTTGGTATGAGGGTAATGTATGCTTCTGTCCATGACTTTGGTACTTTCACTTCTAACAATACTTCATTGAACACTTCCAACATTGGTATACTTAGAATGTTTTGTAAACTTTTATAAAGTTCTGCTGGTAGACCATCTGGGCCTGGCATTTTACCATTCTTTTGTCTTTTGATTGCTTCTGTTAATTCCATCATTGTTATATGTTCCTCTAACATAACTTTTACTGTTTCTGGTATTTTAGGTAATTCCGCTTTTTTAAAGTATTGTTTTATCTTCTGAAACTGTCTCTTGGTCATATAGTTTTCCATAGTAGTTTTGAATCACTTTCTTTTTATCATCATTTTGATGATAAAGGTTTCCTTGCACATCCTTTAATTTGATATATCAATTTTTTTCTTTCTCCTTTTTCAGTTTATATGCCAACCATCTTCCTGGTTTATTTGCATTTTTGAAAAAAATTGTTTAGCATTTTTAATTTTTTGTGCTAATTATTCTTTATCTATTATATTTAACTTATGTTTTATTAATTCCCTTTGATTTTTTAAGGTTCTTTTTTGTGGTTCTTTTTGTAATTCTATCTCTAGTCTGTTGTATTCGTCTTCTAATGTCTTTTGGTTTTGTTTCTTCTTATTTTTCTTTCCCATATAGGTTATGACTGCTATATGCCTTAGCAGTATCCCATACATTTTGTAACGAGGTCTCTTCTTTCCTATTCTCTTTAAAGAAAAAGTCTAATTCTTTTTCCATAAATTGAATAAATTCCTTGTCTTTTAATATTGATTGGTTCAAACATCCATCTTAATTTTCTTTTTTGTCCTTTCCATTTGACTTTTATTGGGTTATGGTCTGCCCAGTTACTTGTTTCTATGTTCAGTTCTTGTATGTTAGATTTCAATTCAGCTGTCATCCATATCATATCTATTCTTGACCAGGATATATGCCTATTTGAGTAGAATGAGTATCAATTTTCCTTAGAATGTATCTCTCACCATACATCTTGGATGCCTAGTTCTTCAGCCATTTTAAAGAAAGCCTTTGGAAGCATTTTCCTAGCTTTTTAAATAAACTTTCCTGGTTTTATAGTCTAGTTCTGCGTCTACAATTGCATTGAAATCTCCCACTACACATATATTTTCATATTCCAATTCTATTATTTTCTTAGGAAGTTTACTATAAAAATCCTCTTGTCTACTATTTGGTGCATAAATTGCTACCAGAAGTATCTGTTTTTAATTCATTGTTATCTCCACCAGCAAAATCCTCCCTTCTGCCCGTCCTCCTTTTCATCCCCTCCTCCTAGATCCGATTCTCACCCCGCCAGCCCTTGTGTTAGCGAGGCCGGTGTCAGTAGTGGCCGGGTCGGGCTAGTGTCTTGGGGTGGAGAGAGCAGGTTGCACGCCTCCCCAAGCGATGTGCAACGCCCAGCACCAACAAGGGCCAGAAGAAGCGCCAGCAAGAGTGAGGCGCTGGAGAATCAGTCCTCACTGCTTCTCCATCCCCTGCTGTCGCCCTTCTCAGGCCAGGCGAGGAGTGACTGGGAGGGGAGGATGAGGGGCGGGACTAGCCAGTGGTGGGATCACCCAACGGAGCCACAGCAGAGGGATGAAAGAGCCACATGTGGTTCTGGAGCTGCAGGTTGCCAACAGTGACTAGGTATTGCACACGTCAACGATGCAAATGAGAGTCCAATATTTTTTTAACCTTGTGATGGGTCTCTCCCTGCACTACAATTGGCTGGGGAGCAGCCTGGTCTACTGATCTCAGCCAAGAGCCAACTGCTGTCTTTAACAAGCTGCTGTGAAAGACCAGATGCACTTTCCCTAGTTTAAGCTGAACAGTTACAGGGTTAATTACTTTTGCTTTTGGGAATGGCCCTATGAACTTAGGACACAGCTTTTTACATGATAAAAAGTTTTAGATACTTTGTTGACAGGAACACTTTGTCTCCATTTCGGAAAGGATGCTGGGGGGAGTGGTGCTTGTCAGCTTGCGTTTTATATGACCTTGCTGCGTCCACTAAGGCTCGCTTTGTATTTTCCCAGCCCTGCTTCATTGTTTCTATCCACTCATTCAGGGAGATGGAGGATGGCAGCTCTCGGGGCAACTTGGGCATGGGTACGAACTCCATGCTGCTGGTGACTTGGAAAGGGGTCAGGCCAGTGCTACTGCGTACCGCATTATTGTAGGCAACCTCTGTGAAAGGCAGTAGGTCCACCCAATTGGATTGCTGGTAGCCCACATAGCACCTCAAGTACTGCTCTACCATGGCATTCGGCTGCCCCATTAGTACGTGGATGAAAAACTGAGCTAAGCCTCTGTGTGGACCCTATGGCTCTCAGGAACTCCCTCCAGAATTTTTCTTCCTGTATCGGAGATAATCTTGCGGGGCACCCCATGCAACCTACATATATCTGCCTTAAGAACATCCTACCTAATTTTTTTAGCTGAGGGTAGTCCTAAACGGGAGCTTGACTATAAAGTCCATGGCAATTTTCTCCCTGGGTCGGCTCAGGTCTGCCACTTGCTGGAGAAGGCCAGGGGGTTTTCTGGGTCTTTTCTTCATGGCTGCACACGTGGTGCAACACTACATAGTTCTTTACATCCTTCATCCTAGGCCACCAGAATTGCCTCCTGGTCAGGTGCAGGGTCTTTAGGAATCCAAAATGTATGTCAAGCTTGGAGTCATGGCTGTGCTGCAGGATTTGGAGTCTTAAGCTGGAAGTGATGTACAGCTTGGCCCTTTTCCAGGCTAGTCCATCCCTCAGGGTCAGGGCGTCTCTCTTATCAATGAACCATGGGTCTGCCAGAAGTGACTTCAGGGCCTTTGTCATTTGGTGCCCCCCCCCCCGGGCTGCCCCAGCATCCATCTTGGCGTCTGGTGATGGCTTGAGCCACCAGTTGCAAGGGAAAGATGATGGCGTGAAATATTTCTTCATGATGACTGAATTGGGGTTTTCTGGACAAAGCGTGCTCAAGCAGGTCCTTTCCCTCTGGAATGTATT